GCTGCCGCAGGGATTTGGTGCTGAGCAGCAGCCGGAGGGATACCGTCCTCCACTGATCGATGAGCCACCGCATCCATTCAAGGCTGAAGCAGCAAGAAATTTCAACAGCAGCGGTATTTGTTCATTTATTCATGCTTGGATAAACAGTGCTTTTATGCTCTGTATCTTTACAGCCATTGTTTTTGTTTCTTATCGTGCGAAGATCATGGAAGGGGAAAAAAGATTTCTTTTTGCTGCCGGGAATTAAAACTTTTAGATTTTAGTTTATATAAGAGGCGAAGAGATTCGCAGTTAGTCTAAATAATAGCACTTGTAAATAATTAACTGGCTTGGCAAGAATATGATGGTTCCCTTTCCAAGGATTGCTTATGAAACAGTTCCAGGCAATTTCTTTCTGGAATTCTTTCGCCCCGCATACAGAAAATCTAAAAGTTTTAATTCCCGACAGCAAAAAAACCCCGAGCTTGCTAATAACAGTTCATTATCAGGATGGATCCTCTATAGAAAAACTTGGCAGGTTAGAGTGTGGGAATAGAAATGCTGGCCGGAAAAGCCGAATTTCAAATCGAAGTGGTCAGATCCAGTTGCTAACTCTTATTCGTCTAAAATACGATAAAGGCGATCAGAGAATGTTAGGCAGTTGTGAAAATTCAATTATATTCTCGCCGTTCATTGAATTGCGTCTTGACAGCTAAAAATTTTGCATTATTTGTTTGGATAGCCTTGTTTTAGCTCCCTAAAAGTATCTCAGTTTCCTGTAATTATGGCATGGACGTGGTATTTTTTTTCCTTGCAACATACCGATTTAGGTCCAGCGGATTGGCGTTTGGAGGATATGCTGGATGGGCAGTCGGTATTCAACGCCCAGAGTATTCAAAGTATGTTTTAGATCTAGCTTTTCTGTAATACATTTTTTCGTTGAAATTTGTGAATTAAATTTATTATACTTTATAATACAGATGCACAAATGCGGATTGCCAACGATGCGAGTTTGAGTGCTGCACAAATAGCTCGCGCTCGTGAACTTCTTCAGGAACTGCTATTCACAATCACCGTGAAACCGGAGCATATGCCACTGAGTAAGTCTATTTTTGGCTACTTGATTCAAATTTTTTGTCTTTTGGGTCTGCAAATTAGTGTTGAACTCCTTTGCCTGCTTGGATTATCTCTGATAAAAAGTTTTGACTATTTCAAATAAAAATTAAATCCTCTTCATACTTTCGGCATACTTCCGCTCTTTGTGCCAATTAAGCTCTGTACCGGAAGCGGAAGTAAGCTGAGAGTAAGTGGCCTTCCCTTCCAGAGATTACTTGAAGAAGACAGTTGCCAAAACTCGGCTCGGCCGGCGTCTTACACGATTTGCGAGTAATTTGTTCTGAAGATGGCGCCTGGGTTGCTTATGCCACGAAATAGCGTTAGCAGTGATGCAGAGTAACGGCCGAGCCGAGCCAAGTTTTAGTAATTGCCTTGCCTTGGAGAATGCACATGACGGGTTCAACACCTCAGTATGCAGCAGTGCTTTTCTGTTATGAACGAAAAAAGTGAGGGAATTGTAGATGGAGTGACTGCTTAACTGTTAAAGTGGAGTGCCTTCTTCAGCATTGCTTACCCCCCATTTGATGCGTTAAAATTGCTGGTTTCTACACATGTTTTTCATGTCATTTTGCATATGCCCGAACTGCCACATTTGGCTGGTACGGTAGAGCTGGTACGATAAGTTGGGTTTTTTATATATTTTGGTTCCGATAAACTTTCTGGCGCGAAGCTTTTCTTTTATTTTGACTATGAATATGTTTATGTTGCGACTAAGTTGAGCTTCTCGAACTTTTCTTTTGCAGATGGAGGTGCGGAAATGCCAGAAGCTCGTCGTATGGGTAGCGGTGGTGACGGGCATCGCTTTGGTACTGAGGATGAAAAACGTCCAAATTTTACCGATCGTTGGACTTCCGAATATCCCCCTTCTGAGATTTTACCGCCATATTCACCCATTCACCAACAAGCAATGGGACCAGTTCCAGCACGTGAACGTGATTTTCCACGTACTCAGAATCCGCCTGCAACATCACCTTGGCCTACGGATTCATCAGCTGCAGCTGGATATCATCCACAGCGAGAACCCGTGGAACCAGAAAAGGGTCGACCGGATATAAGTATGATTTATTTATGAATATTCTTGAATGTTTACTGGCTTTAAAAAATTTATTTCATTCTTTAAGGAAATTCAGGTGCGAGTTCTGGTTTTTTATGTTTTTTGTTACTGTACAATTTTAGTTGCCGGACCACGAGGCGGTTTTCATGCGATGGAATCACGAATGCAGATCACTAGAGATTTCAAAGACAGAAGAGAAAAAGCGTATGACGAGATGACGTTCGCGTCTGATAGATCGAGAGGCTCGCTCCGACATCATGCGCGCCATCGATCTCGCTCACGCAGTCGTAGCAAAGACCGAAACCACCGTAATTTTTTTTTCAACATTAAAGAAAAAATTAATTTTTATATTTTTTTTAGAGCGCAGCGAGTAAATACTTCGGATCCGGTCATTTGGTTTGCCAAAGTTTCTGCTATCAATTGGTGCTGTCATTTTTTCACATCTTTTTCAATATTGAGCTGGCTTTTTGCTTTTTACTTGTGGTTTCAAAATCCTTTCCTCCACTGCATTTGCTACTCCAACAACGCGTTTTCTTAGCAGCTTCTCGGCTTCCAGTTGTCGATTCGCCCCTGTAGACTGGGCAGGAAGCACAAAGAATACTGGTGTCATTATTTTGTTTTTTTTAATGCTTCCGGTATTGCTTCGTGAATTTTACATGCATTTGCATACTTTATCGTAATTGAAGCAAAAATATTCATGAAAGACAAAAACAGAATAGTTGGATTGATTTTTCTGAGATATAATTATTTGATTAGGTTTGGATGCTGGAAAGCGCGAGATGGAGACCCGGCCGAGACATTTTGATGGCAGAGGTATGGCTGGTCGAGGTGAGATTGGTCGTCCTTTTGGAGAGGTTTGTTAAAGTGTTTCTTGTTATGAAAAAATCAGGCCGTTTGGAGCATCAGATGGATTGTTTTACGATCTCTTAGCTTTGGAGTTGGGACACTCAGTTTTCTGCGCTTCAGAAATTGACATATAATAATTTTAGTTTGCATGAAATGTCAGGAAACATTTTTAACGGGAGGAATTTCAGCCTTTCTTCGGACATCGTGGTGGCGGCGAAAGAGCGGAT